CCTCTTCTCCCTCCCGCAGACCCTACGTGCGATCCAAGGGCCGGAAGTTCGAGCGCGCCAGAGGCCGCAGGGCCAGCCGAGGCTACAAAAACTAACCCCAGACCCTGCCTTGTTATTAAAAAGATTTGGACTGTTGACGTTCTCTTGTGTGTTATTCCAGGGATGAGGGACGGGGGGGCGGGACACGGGAGGGGATCGGATCGAATTGGAGTCTGGGAGTAGGATGCGCGCCCCTCTCCGTGGACACCAATGGCGGAGGAGCCCTTCCCTCGGGGGCGGAGTCTAGCTCTACCCGCAGGCGCCCTCTGGAGGCTCCGGTGCGTGCTTGTCTGGATCTTGCACCGTTGGACCCTTGAGGGCCCCCCACGGCCAAAGTCCCGCCCCCTCAGTGAGCCGGGTGACAGGTGTTTCCGCACCTGTTCCCTCCCCCGGATTAACCGCACCCGCCCCTCTAAACCTGAGCTCCTCCCAGGCTCGGCCTGGTGGGCAGGGTGTGGACGCGGAAGTGCTGAGGGGGCGGGATCGCGGTGGGGGAGGGGTACGTGGGAACAGGTGAGTTGCTCCCCTTTAACCGAAGCTTGAGTCAGCTGGGGTCTGGCGGGCCCCTGGGCCCTGGGCCAGTGACCTGGTGAGTGTGTTCCCTGGGCTGGGGCCTTCCGCAGGGACCTGCATCGGGCCCTCCTCTGTGTTTACACAAGGGGCTGGGTTCCCCGGATCCCAGGCTAAAACCTGATGAATGAGGCGAGACAGCCGGAAGGACGGCAGAAATAGAGGCAGGACGTCTCCAGACCCCTGTTCTGACCTCCGAAAAGGCAAGGCAAGGAGGGAAGAGGATGGGGGTCCGGACACATGGGGGGAGCTCTGGATGGGCGAGAGGGAGTCCTGGTTTTATTCCTCTTTATCTTTGTAGGCCTGGTCGCTGTGGTCTGGAGGAGGGAAGCCGCCTGGGTGCCGTGATTGGAAGGAGGGGCCGCTGGTTTGCAGGGATCAGGGGTCCACAGCCCAAAGGTTGGGTCAGGAGCCTCAAAGGAACAGCATGAGAGGGAGACAGGACAGGAGACAGAGTGGTCCTTGGCCAGGAATAAGTGGTTAGCTAGCAGGAGATAGCAGGATTCGGGTAGAAACCCCGGCAGGGCAGCTCGGCCAGGGATCAGCAGAGATCAGAGGGCAGCCCGAGAGCACTCCGGCTGGGAGACAGGCCGGCAGGGGCAGCCAATCCAAGGAACGGTGATTGGTCAGGCCCTCCATCCAGATGGGCCGGTTCCATGGTGATGAAACCTCCTGGTGAGCGGCTCCGCTGTGGCAGCCCGAGTGGGTGTGAAACCCCAGGAGCAGGGTCCCCAGTCCACGGAGACCGGTCTCGTTCCCTGGCTGGGTAAGGGGGATGCCCAGACTTCGGGCTGGAGCCCATTCTTCCCAAGCTTGAGCGAGCAGGTCCAAAGGGGAGGTGCGTGGAACGATCCGGCCGTGAGAGCTGCTGAGCCAGCCGCGAGTTGTCAGGAAAAACAGATTCTGCGGGACACGGCCGGGTGGTCAGATACGGACATTGTTGGAAGCAATCGATGCCTGCCAGATAATCCAAAGGAGAGCGTCAGTTCGACGCGCTATTGGTCAGGGGCACGTAGGCAGCCCGCTCTGCCTTTAGTTGGGGACATTTGAGTGGTAGGAGACAGGCAGGCGGCCTGTCGCCTGGAGATGGTGGGGCAGTCGGCCGGCTCTCTGGCCAGGACAGGTGGGCCATCAGCCTGACCGAGACTGAGCCAGCAGACCGGTCATTTGGGGCATCGCGTGGCCAGCAGGCCGGAAGTTGTTGCGGGGCGGAGCATAGAGGAGGA